AATAATCAGATATAAAAGGCCTTGCCACTGTATTAAAGCCACTGTATATAGACAAGGAGTCCCCAAAATCGCAGCAACTTTGGTCACTAATGCCAACCCTAGAACTCAGTATCCACTTGCTCTTTCATTGCAAGCCTAGTTTTACAACAGCCCAAGTGTTTTATATCGTACTTACCATCACCCATCCTCCAGACACTTAATTTGTTATATTTCCACTGCGCTTTAATAAATGAGAAGTAATCTCTGAAACAGCGGTGGCTACTAAGCCCAGTAGAAAACTGTTGTTAATTGGTGTCTGAACGGTGCTGCCACAGACTTGGTACGTTTCTGGAGCTCTATTATCTGACTGAAGTTTTAAGATGTGTTTTATGGCTGGATATGTGTGTCTATTACACAGATGACTACTTTGAACAAGCTATGTTAGAGAGCTTAAAGTTCAGAGCTACCGATACCTTTCCTAAACCTGGAAGTGCAGCTTAAAAAGGTGAAAAGCTGACAGAGAGTCAGTGCTCTGAGCAGGCTGAACGCTGCAAGAAAACCAATTCTAACACTGGCTTTTGCTTGTGTTACTCATATGTAATGGATCATTTACACAACGTAATTTGGCCTTCCATCCCATTTTGTTTCCCTAGTAGGTAAGTATGACAGCAATTCTTCCATTGGTAGGTTGCCGTTGATGCTTACAAAAATGTCAAATGGCCTTATTTAGCTAATTAATAATGTTGTTAGCCAAACTAGTTCTCAAAGACAGAGCTGACTACGTGGAAAGTCCATCAACTCGAGCAGTGTTTGCTTTGACAAGGGGAATGGAGATAAGCTGGAGTAAAGGTTACAACTTGTTCTCCTCAGAGTTTGTTTCTAAGCAACCCAGTCAGTTTGTCAGTGGCTACAGCACACCAGGTTGAGTTTGTTTTGCTTTCCTGCCTCTGCAAGTAAGGCATGGAAGGTGATGGCCCCTCTGGAAACCAGCCGCTGTACTCCACACCAGGTGGCTGAAGAAGCTCCTGCTCTACAGGCAGGAGGCTTGGAAGCAGACCTACAGAAGAAGCCAGTAGTAACAGAGCCGTTTGGATTGAGATTTCGAACTAGCTCTTGCTCAGAGTAAAAGACATAAATGTAATTAATAAACCCAAAGTTCAGTTTGTGTCCCAGTTTGTGTGAGAAAGCACAAGCACCTTGAGGCTGACAAGAATGGACCAACATTTTTTTTTGTGCAGTGGTCACGCTGAAGCAAGAGACAGTCTGTCCAACCTAGTGCAAGTTAGCAGCTGGTTAGCAGGTTAAAGATCAGCTGAACGGCTCACTTGGGGATGTGCAAATACTAGAACGATATTTATAGTCAGTAACCACCATAAATTAGATACCAGAAAACACCAAACACTGATGCAGGGAGCTTGCAGAGATGACATGCTAGCAGCAAAACAGGACTCTGACGACTGTGAGCCATCCGCTGGAGGTTTACACAGAATTGGTTTTGTGATTTTCTGTCTTTTCTGCACTGGTTATAAAATCTTTTTCAAAGAGATGAGAAGCCCGAAGCCTGACCCCAGGTGCAGGAGCGCTCGCAGAACATAAAGCCGTACCAGGGAAACCAGACGGACTTCGAAAGGCTCCTCAGAGGAGGAGTTCAGGCAATCACGTTACTGGGGCCAATCTTCAGAGACCATGTCAGGGCACCTGTCAGAGGGGTGCGTCAGTAAAGAGGTCACAGAATGATGCACTGAAGTGAGCAGTAACGCATTCCCAGCACCAGATGATATTTGTGGAATATTTGCTGATGTGTCCAAGGATAAAACAGGTAATTTTCTAATCATGATGTTCAATTTCTCTCATGAAGCGTGATACTAGAAAATTGGAAGTAGCTAATTTGATGCCAGTTCCTAGAGTTTCAGGAGAGAGCTAGGGAACATATTGACCAAGAAATCTGCTGTCTTTACTGGCCAAATTGGCAAGAACTGTAATGCAGACCCAAGAGATGAACACATTGGGAAGGAATCAATGAAGTTTCTGTAAACAGAAGTAATTCTTCATAAATTCATTAGTTCTTTGAAGTATTCAACAACCTTGAGGACATGGGAAATCTAGCTGATATAGTTTACTTCAACTTCAGAAGAGATTTCACCACATGCCTTTCAAAGACTCCTAGAGGATATAATCTGAGGGGATAAGCAGGAAGGTCCTTGCATGGATAAACAGTTAAAAGATAGAACAAAGGAAGGCTAGGCAGAAATAGCTGTTTTTTACAGTGGAAAAAATTATTAATGCTTAGTTTATATAGTTCAATATAGTCCTAAATGATGTGGAAAAAGGAGAACAGTTGGCTGACCACATTTGGTGGTGCTACTAAGCGTACTGAAGACAAAGACTGACTGAAGAATCGCAGAAAGACTCCATGCTGCTGAGTGATAGGGAAAAAAAACAGGAGATAAAATTCAATAGTGATAGATGTAAAATAAGGCAAAAGGAGAAAACCTGGTCCTAACAACATTTACAGTGATTGGCTCTCAGCTTATTATTACCATTCACCAATGATATTTTTATATTATGCCAAAGAAAATTTGGCACAATGCTGAGCAGCAGTCCAAAAAATTATATTGAATGCTTTAATTATTTAAGAAATTCAAGAATTATTTAAGAAAGAAACAAAGGGGAGTGCATTATTCCACTGTATGCACCTGTGGTGTCCCAGTGTCTCAACTAGAATTCTAAGTTTACTGCGTCCATTTCATATGGAGAACCTCCAGAGGAGCGGGTCCAGAGGAGGGCCATGAAGATGATCCGAGGGCTGGAGCACCTCTCCTATGAAGACAGGATGAGAGAGTTGGGGCTGTTCAGCCTGGAGAGGAGAAGGCTCCAGGGTGATCTTATTGCAGCCTTCCAGTACCTAAAGGGGGCCTACAGCAAAGCTGGAGAGTGACTTTTTACAAGGGCGTGTAGTGATAGGACAAGGGGCAATGGATTTAAACTGAAAGAGGGGAGATTTAGATTAGATATAAGGAAGAAATTCTTCCCTCTGAGGGTGATGAGGCACTGGAACAGGTTGCCCAGAGAAGTTGTAGATGCCCCATCCCTGGAAGTGTTGAAGGCCAGGCTGGATGCGGCTTTGGGCAGCTTGGTGTAGTGGAGGGTTTCCCTGCCCATGGCAGGGGGGTTGGAACTAGATGATCTTTGAGGTCCCTTCCAACCCAAACCATTCTATGATTCTATGATTCTATAAAGGCTGTAGTGAAATTAGAAAATATGAAAAGACAATAACAAGGATAATTGAAAGCATGGACCAGCTTTTGTGTGTGAAAAGACTAAATAGCTTAGGACAGTCTTGGCTGGAAAAGAGGTGGCTGAGGACAGCATATGACATATCTATACAACTACAGTGGCAAGGAGATGGTGAATAGGTATTGAAACCAGTACGATAATTAGAAGGCAGAAGCAGCAGGAGAAAACAAACAAAAGGCAGCATTTCTTCTGACAGTGCATAGTAAAAACTGCCAAATTTAACACAGGATGTTGTGGAAGGTACGATTTGATGAGAGTTGGAAAAGTGACTGGGAGAAGTAATGGAAAAAAAAAATCTACTGAAGGATATTTAATAAAAAGACACAACCCCAGTTCACTGCAGCTTTAACAGGACTCAGGGCAAGTGGCACTACACAGTCGTCTTTACTTTATACTTTTTCCCAGTCCCCTCTCGGCCAGGTAGAGGAGGGTACTGGACTAAATCATCTGACCCAC